CTCCTGCCCGGAGCCCTCCGCTCAGCCTCGCACCATGGCCGGCCGACGGGGGAGAAGCGGGGAGAAAACCGGGCTGGGAGCGACTCGGTAGTGAAATGGTTATCTCGGCTGGCTTTCTCGGTAACTCTTGGAAAGTCCCCGAAATGACGTTTCTAACCTAACAATTAAAATGGGTTTAATTATAGAGAGGCTCAGAGCCCTGGGAACAAGCACCATCTACAGAATGAGTAAACAACTGCAGAAAATAATAGGCTGGTCTCTCCCCTGGTTACTCCTCACTTCTGGCCAAGGCAAGGAAAAAAAAAAGAAACCAGGAAGAGACGGAAATTCGAGGAACCTGATTGCTCTCCTTAAGTAAATAATAATAATATAAAAAAAAAAAGAAATCTGGAATAGCCGGAGCCTGTGGGCGTTTCTCTCGGTTGGTTATTTTGGCCGTTCTTGAAGATCGAAGGAGGGGAAAAAGATCAGCCGCCAGCTCAAAGTCCCGATCCCGCGACTCTAAAGCAAACAGAAGAGGAAGCGGACCATTTGTTTGAAGTTTGCAGCGCGATGGCCGCGTGGGCCGGCGTCCTGCTGCCCAAGGCCGGGGTTTCTTTTCTCCCAGCCAAGCCGGAGCAGGGCAGGAGGAAGAGTCCGCGGCGCCGGGGCAGGAGGCCCCCTCGCCGGCCTTGCATGGGGGAGAGGGCCCAGATGCTGTCGCTCGGCCTTATACGAAACACCCACTGAAGTTATAGTTAGGGCGAGCCTTGCCTCAGCTGGGGCTAAAGGTTTGGGGGCAGCAGATTTCACGCTGAGGCACCCTTGTATCGACGAGCCTTGAAGAGTTTTGCCTTTTTTTTTTTTAACGGAGAAACTGCCGCCGTCGCCCCCCCCCCCCCCGCCATATCGATATCAGTATGAATCATACTTTGCCTACTAAAATCTGGAATAGGTTACTTGCTCAGAGACGTTATTTTTTTTTCAGTTTTACAATTTCGAGTTCTGGGGACTGGAAGAGGACTATACGGGGAGAAAAGGCAGAATTTATCAAACACCCTTTTAAAGGACAAATCCATATTTTAACAAATTAACGTGGATGTGAGCCACTTCCCCTCGCAGAGCCTGC